CTATTTTAGTGAAAATTACATCGACCAAGTAAACAATAACGGTGAACATGCATAAAAAAACATCGTTCGTGCTTTTGAAATACGAAGGTTTCCCTCTATTTCCCCGGATTCCACGATCAGATCTTGACTTGGTTCCAATGGAAGTGCACTCTTTCGAATAAAAAAAGAATTTTGGAAATCGGTCCACATTTGACGGAGAAATCGGTGAACATACATAATAAATACATAAAAAAAATACAGTCGAACACAGAACCTCCTACTTTTTTGAAGTCGGTTAAAAACAGTGTGAACGATAAAAACGTGTCAGTTAGTGGTAGTAGTCGTTATATGCATTGCTCATCATCCGTTGCTGTATTTTTTGTGTGTATACTGTTGATCGCAGATTACCTTTACAGCGACACAGGGTTTGGAAACGGCGTGATCCTGAAGGGACCTCAAGCCGAGAATAAGTGAGTTCCCCTAGAGGCAGACAGCTGCGTTAATTCAAAGGTCCTTGTCAATAAACAGTCACAGTCACAGGTCAGTAATTTCATATAAGGGAAAGTTAAAAATATGATTGATAAAACTGACAGTAAAGCAATTAAAACCGGAAAATGCATACAAGACTGCAATGCGAACTTATATGATAATTGTCTCACTTAAAATAATTTGACAAACCCAATAAACATAATTACGTTTCGTGTTTGAACCATATAGTTTCTACTGTTCAATTTACTTCCAACTCTTGTCTCGCGTCACAACTAGCTAAGTGAAGGCGCGCAACTAAACGTAGAAAATTTTGTAATCGTCGTTGATCCGGCTTCGCCGTGAAATCATTGGGTCAGTACAGGTCTCGGTAAAGATGAGCATGTGAAGAGTCGTACACATTCAAACCAAGATGCGGTATATTGAAAAAAACCTGGAGGAGAAGGAAGTCGAAGTTGCAAATGGATCATTTAGTTGTTTTGTTTATTTGCAATTTTTATTATTTTATTATAATTTCAACCGACGAAAAAAGACGGAGGACGTATCAAGTCGACGCGTATGTTTTTTTGTGTATGATCACGAAAACTTCTTACAGAGTAGACTGATTTTGATATTTTTTTGGTAAGGGTATACTCGGAAGTTGGTGCCATATTTTGGCAAATAAACCTTTTAAGCTCCCCTACATGTAAAGTGGAGGTGAATTTTTTTTCGCCTACCCCATCGTGTGGGTGTATCGCAGAATAGGTCCTTAAATCGACTTCGGGGTTGCTCAGACTATTTTGCGATTTAGTTTTCCGTTAATGAAATATTAAAGTGCAAATTCTTGCTCGAGTAGGTCCATCCCCCTCTAAAACCTAAACTATTATCTTGACAAATCTAAAAAAAACTTGATTATAGTACTTTTTATGAACTTTCAAAGAAAATTGTGACAGTAAAGATGAATTTGTTACTTAATAGTAAGAGTAATAGTCATTCAACGTAGGTATTAGAAAAATTCTTACCTAATAAAACTTTCTTAGAAGAGCACATTAAAAGTGACTTAAATGAAGTCATTGCATGCTTATATTGGGTAAAACCTTGAATTAGAAAACAAAGTTATAAAAAACTATTTAAACAAAACAATAAAATATCTACGGAACCCTATACTGCGCGTGGCAAGCCAAACACCTAGCCAGTTTTTATTAGATAAGGTATACCTCAAAGTTGGTCCTAGATAAATTTGGAAACAAAAATCCTACCCTAAGAGTGGGGAAATAGGAGTGATTGTTCACTCTCAGATTTTGATGCCGAGTTGCATATTACAAAAATTAAAGCCACAAGAAATAATAATAATAAACTTAAGAATAAATAATAATAATAATTTACTACTATTTAGTATTGAAAATTTTATTATAAAAAGTATTTATTGTGATATAACTGTAATAGTTAATCATATGGTATTGTGGACTTGTGTAGATATCGATGTCCTCTTTAAAACTATAGTACATCATTTTGCACTTTGTCAATAATTGCCACAGCGTACGCGATATAAGGGTTTTTTTTGTATTTTTCATACGTTAGGTTACATTATTAAATTTTTCATATGGAGCCCTACCTTTTTGAAAATTTTCTATCGCGTAGGATTCTAAATGTGAAATATGTTTTGAAATCGGTCAATTCATTCGGAGCCTATTCAAGACTAACATAGAAACAATCATACCTTTCCTCTTTTTATATTAATATTAGTATAGAAATATAGTTAAACAGAACTACCGTATAAGATTTAACAGTCAATCATCTTTAAATACTTGATTTTATTTGATGTTATTTTAGCCGGAAAATAAATACTTATGTACATATTCTATGAAAATTCTACCTACCCTTTTCGGTCCATGATATAAGTGCCCGTTGACAGAGAGTAGGACTGTCAGTAGTGCGGAGAAGTCTTTATCACGTCTTATACGTGATCAAGAACACTTCTCGATACGACTGGGAATCTTAACCCTAATCACTATATATATCGGAAACGTATACACTTAATAGCGATGAAACAAAACTTTTTTTCTCTTTTCGCAACTTTTATAACGAGATATTGAACTAGGCTTTAAGAGTACGCGGTTACATCGTACAAGGCGCTTAGTGCTCCTTATTTAGGAATCAGTTTCTACCTGTAACGTCGCCATTGAACAATCATTTAAAGAAGTTAATCTTACATACTGTGGTAGTCATATAATTATGAACACTTAATAATACAAAGTCAATACTATGTTTTGACCATAATTTCAGTGCATGGTTCTTTCCTAAACATACTCTGTTGGTGTTGTAGAATATTCTTATGACCGATCTGCATTTTGTTCTTTTTTATATCATTTTGGAAATGGAATGCGGACAAACAGTCATAAGGTACTATTTTATTGCATTTTCGCGCTAATATTTTTAGAATATACGTCTTCTGGCAATTTTCAATTTAAATGGAAAAATTAATCTTGCGACTCTACCGCTAGAGAAATAACAATAAACCTGCGTGCTCGTAATTGGTCGTATAAAAAAAATGCTGATCACTTGCATTGCTCAAAAATGATGGTGTATCAAGCTGTGAATATTTTAATATACATCAGACAACTTCGAATATGCCTTCAAAAACGTGTTCATGAGAGGATTTAAGAATAGTTCGCCTTGCTAAGCAGGACCCGTTCAAAGGCTTAATGTTGACACCACACCATTGAGAGGCTCGACTAGCGTTTGCAAGGAAGTATCAAGATTAGACAGAGCATCAGTGGAAAATGTACTTTTTTCCAACGAAACCAATATTAATAGAGTATGCTCTGACAACAAGCAGTACATAGGCTGCCCTGTGAATAAAGCGTTCGATCCTAAATACACGAAAAAGACCGTGAAATATGGCGGTGGAAGCGTTAAGATTTGGGGTTGCTTTTCTGGATATGCCGTGGGACCTACTAGGCTAATAATACACGGTAACATGGGCCAGTATCAATACAAATAGATACTAGAAGAATGTATGATAATCTCCTGGTAATTTGAAGTTTCCAGCACGATAATGACCCGAAGCATACTGCACTCTCTGTAAAAAGATACCTCGACAGTCGACTGGTAACTGTATTAGAGTGACCACCCAACAGCCCAGATCTTAATATGATTGAACATCTTTGATACCAAGTGAAAAAGAAACTCTCAAACAGACGGTGTGGTAACAATCATGAGCTGTACGATTAATTTTTAAAAGAGTGGAATTCTATTTTAGTTGGAACCTGCCAAAAGTTGATAGTGTCGTTGCCGCGCCGCTGTCATGCAGTAATCCACAGCCATCCATTCACGTCCATTTATTTGCAAAAAAGAAGTTTTTTAATTAATTACAATACAACAGCATTATATTAATTTATTGTCGAATTATTAAATTATTATTAATATTATAAGTAAGTTTTTCTCTCGTTCTTAATTATTTGTCCACTTTCCCACCAGTTGCTATGTAATAGTTACTTATAATACTAGTGCAGTAAGTTGGTTATTACAAACAAGTAGACTTCGTCTCGGACTTACCATAGTCACGACTCACGAGTAATGTCATACAACGTTTTTCAACACATTTGTGAGAAAACAGTATAATTTTTAAGTAATGAAGCATACTTTTTCTAGGAAGCGCATTTCCACGTAGCGCCAAGTGCTAGTGGTGAAAAGCGCTTCCAGGGAGGTTCGATCTAAATAAAAAAAAAACCGTAAAGGATACGCATGGTACCATATACTAGAGCGTGCGATAAATTTTTTCCGCACGTTCTGTTGTATGGTGCGTAATTTTGAACTTTCAAATAATGTGTACAACCTCCGTAAATGCATTTTTTTAACAAATGTATTGAAAACAATATTTGAATGACAGTAAATTAAACAGTAGTAATACAATATGTTTCCTAATTTCTTTTTCAATTGTGTTAATCTTTTAAAGGTATTAAATGACAGTATAGCCAATATTTATCAAGAAGTGATACTTTTTTTGTTATGAACATTGGAATTTTAAAATGTTGCCTTTGCTAGAAGCGTTCTTAATTAAATGGCCACCACTATATATGAAAAATACCGGATATGGTGTTTAGGTGAAAAAACTACCAAATTATCCTATCTTATTGTATAATAATTATCATTTTTATATTAATTCCAATAAAAAAATATTTTCAGAATATATTTTATTAGGTTTTAGCCTATTCTTCGACATCCGTATCCGTTTCTGTTGTCTCTAAAATTTACTTTTAACATCTGTATTCGCGAAGGGCGGCGAAAGAACTGGCGCACAAATAAGCTGTTTTTATAGAGTAAGAAATAATAATTGAACAGTTAATTTTAGAGGTCCAGGGCGCTTAATTTTTAAATACGCTACTGAATCCGTTGCACTCTTTAGTGATGGAGTCTTTTAAAAGGCAAAAGCCGCAGCAAGCCTAGGCGCACTCCTGCGACCGCTGCGGCACCCGCGTGGAGTCCGCCCGACAGACCTGCCATAAAAATATATAAAACTTCGTGCCTTTTTAGAGACTGCCAGCAATACTCACCGGTAGCGGGAAAGGTGCTGGGCGACGCATGGGCCCGAACGGAGGCGGGATGAGGGCGTCGGCGGCCGGAGCACGCTCCTGCGGCCGCAGCGGCAGCCGCGCAGGGCCCGACAGCGGGAACGCGAACACCTGCGACTGTGGCTCGGGGAAGCTGCCCATTGGCCTGTCGAAAAGGAGTATGATGCTTTTAAGAATTCTCCTAAGCTACACTGGGAAAAATTGATAATGTGTCAAACTCCGACTTTATAGTCGGACGTCCGACTATAAAGTAAAACTGGTCAACTTTAGTGTCAAAGAGACTAAGCAATCGTGTGGCTTTAAGTTTGTATTTGTGGGTATTGGCATCACCATCGCTTGCTCTCTTTCTAGAGAGTCGTCAATATCATATGAATGTTGATCAATCCATTCTCTATATGGCACAAAACCATTTCAAATAAATTTGTCAAATTAATAAATTAAAAAACAGAACTTAAATGATCAAACACGTTAGATTTATTGATTAAAATCCGCGGCAGCTAATTTAGAAATAATGATTAATGTTTATATTGATTCTCAAATCGTTTGAAAAGGGCTTTAGCTAAATATGTAACTAAAAAATGTCCGCCTACATAAAATTAGCACAATAAATCGTATCCTTGGCAGTTTTCAAAGTACGTTAGGTATTTTCCTGATCCAATTGTTAGCTTCCATAAAAATATATAAAACTTCGTGCCTTCTTAGGGACCGGGGAATTCTTTCAGCTGCCCTGTCGACTCTTCGTGGAAATTGCGAATTGTTGTATTTTGAAATGTCACTCAAATTGCCTTATATTTGCTTAATACTACTAATATAAGACGGCAACAAAATAAATGTTATTTTTGGATATTTTCTTTTGCTTATCAGGTTTACTTTTTTCACATTTTACAAACTTGAAGTTCAATATTCTCGACCACTTGTTGGCATCACATGTAACTGGAAACTTTTATATACTTTTTACGTAAGTCCGGTGACAATATAAAATGATGGTACGCTCAAGGTAATCCGATTCGAATGGAAACGAAAGATGACAATGGGAACTCCATCGATTTTGGGTTTGTTTGATTTGTCTTCATTAGGACTCTGGTTATTTATGATATATGATGTTAGAAGGCGGTTATGGGAAAGACGGTCCGACCTCGTCGATTTTAGTCAATTAAGTACGAGTATCAATATTATTATAACATAGAGCTGATCGGAACTCTGTAGTAACGAAAAGAAATCTCATTAGGGTTTCTGTTATGCAACCAAACGAACTGACAGTGGACCTGATGAAAAGTGGTCACTGTTGCTCATGGACAATTGCAGCACCAAGGGAACCAGTCATGTCATGTCATGCCGACTCTGAAGGAAAAGGTTTACCAGCCTATTGAAGATAGCTATATCATGGATGAAAGGAAAAACCGCTGAGGGTAGTTAGTTCCAGATCTTAGTAGAACGAAAGAAAAAGGATCGCATGGTGCTAGAACGCCAAGCGTCCAGATGGAGGGGGTGAAACTTCTCTCTGTGGCGTTGAGGATCTTGATTTATGATTTTATTAGGTGTTGGTCCATGAGGTGACATCCAGGTTACGAGAATGCAGTTGATACTTACAAAACTAACGGAATAACAATATATTTCTCCGTTTCTTCATAGTTCAACCCTATTCGCATCAAGCACACTCCATGAATAACTTAGAGAATTCTATAATAATATTGTAAGTATTTGTTCCCCGAATGCATTTTAACAAGCTCACATTTCTCGAGTGCAAACTTCGATAATGTAAACAAGTGGATGTTTGCACTCGAGAAATGTACGCACGCTTAACTTATAGTCATAATATACTACTTTCGAATACAAAACGTTGTGTGTAAATTAATTATAACGCATAATAACAAAGTCACTGAACATAATTCCGTTAAAATTAACTTCAATGAACACTTAACATGACCTATTTAAATCCAAATTAAATTTATACCTACTGCCATCATGTACTTATAAGCTTACACGAACTTTCACTAACGCAATTTGTAAATTAGGCATGCACAGCGCATGAAATATAAGATAAAGTTTATGGAATGGTGGCAAATACTCTAATAAAATCACATGGCTGTCTATTTGTCAGTCAATTTGCTATGAATCTACTGGACCGATAAATATACATAATATACATGTGACCCAAACACGGAAAGTAATAAATTCCGAATACTTATGGGGTTACGTTTGGGGGGAGAATTAGAAAATAAAAATTTTGGGAACTGTATCGTGTTATATAACAAATGAAAGGGCTCATCATATTGCGTCAAAAAAAGGGATATAGCTCTTTGCTTGCTGATTGCAGGAAAACCTATAACAAGTTTTTAATGCATATAATGGCATGGAACCTTTCGTGCTCGAGTCCGACTCGCACTTGGCTGTTTTTTTTTGTCTACACCAGCCCCTCTAGCATGACCACCGAAACGGGATACCAAAAGCGATATATCGGCATTAACTGTCAGACTACTATGGAGTTTGACAGTAGTCTGACAGTGAATGTCGATATATCGCTTTACCATATCCCGTTTCGGTGGTCATGCTAGAGGGGCTGAAGTGGAAACGTTTATAACATTATTTTCTTGTTTATCTCATGGTGTCGAATATTGTTGGATTAAATTTATAAAAAACATCAGCTAAATGTAAACGTTGTTTTATTTTGTTGTTGCTATTTTTGTATAGGTAGGTATATAAAAAGACCTATGAATATTGCAATTTCACTGTGAGATTCCATTATCAACAAATTGCCTGTAGTGCCTTGTCTACTCTTTCAGCCCTACTTCCATATTTTTGTCATTTGTTTGTACCCATTTCTTGCGCCTGAAAGGAATGTTTTATGCTGAGATGCTTTCTTCGTTCAATTTTATTTCAACAAAGGCATCCATAAAGCTACGACCGCCTAGGGCTGCCATTTGTCCTTCCACGTTGACCGGATATGTTTAACTTTTTTGTTCATTTCCGTTCAAACATGTGTGTGACCTTTCCGGTTTTCGGTAGGCTTTTCGGTTCTTTTTTATAGCGCTCGACAAGGAAAAAATACAATAATGTCCGGCTTTTTGGAACAAATGTCCGGTCAAAATTAGCGCAGAAGACCAGCTTTTATAGTATAACAACAAGGATGACAACCCTACTCCCACCGCCATAATATATTTGACTGTGTTAAAAACGTATTTGCTATATTACAACGCTTCGCTCCTAGCTAATTCGCACCTGCCCTACGTGGTATCTTGAAATATAGTCGGGTCCCGCAGTAAATGAAAAATACCTATCTTCAACAAATATGTTGCTCCGCAAGTCCGTAAGGAATTCTTTCTTTTAATATCCTTTACTTCGTATTACAGTTATTAATAAAAAGAGATATTTATGTAAAATATATGCAAGGTTAAATTTGCGATTTGAATTATAGAAATAAAATAAAAATACAAATAATTATTTCGTAATATACAAGCCAAACTCATAATATCCCAAACTTATAATTTTCTCCAACTAAGTTTCAGTTTATGTTGATTAACTATAGCCAAACAATTAACGGTGGATTGAGAAAATTTCACACTATGTAGTGGCTTGATGTATTACTGACTGTAGAAACAGGAACTTGAAATACTAATAGTAACGAATCGTATCTAATAGGGAAATTATTTATTGTGTGATGTACCTTCCATAATTAATTAAAGAGTGCCTCTCGAATTTTCATAGTACCTGTACTAATTTTGAAATTTTCACGAAACATTGTGTTCATCAACACGCATGATAAATCTTAAAAGGACTATAAGGAGGTTTGATAGGAAAGTACTAAAGGATGGTACACAATAATATTGTGCCATATTATGGCAACTCGTTGCGTGGCGCGAACGCTTCCAGGGTGTTGAAGGGTAAACGCCTCTCCATCGGGTCATCGCGCCGACGCTCCACCACTCAGTTTATAGATAATAGGTTTAAAATAATTCACGAAACAACAATGCACTTGGGTTCCGCCGAGACAGATGATGGCAACTCGTTCAGCGTAAGCGTTGCGTGGCGCGAACGCTCCCAGGATGTTGAAGGGGAAATGCTCTCTATCGGGCCATCGCGCCGACGCTCCACCACGCAGTTTATAGATAATAAGTATAAAATAATGTAAGAAACAACAACGCACTTAGGTTCATCTCCGCCGTGACACATGATGGCAACTCGTTCAGCGTAAGCGTTGCGTGGCGCGAACGCTCCCAGGATGTTGAAGGGGAAATGCTCTCTATCGGGCCATCGCGCCGACGCTCCACCACGCAGTTTATAGATAATAAGTATAAAATAATGTAAGAAACAACAACGCACTTAGGTTCATCTCCGCCGTGACACATGATGGCAACTCGTTCAGCGTAAGCGTTGCGTGGCGCGAACGCTCCCAGGATGTTGAAGGGGAAATGCTCTCTATCGGGCCATCGCGCCGACGCTCCACCACGCAGTTTATAGATAATAAGTATAAAATAATGTAAGAAACAACAACGCACTTAGGTTCATCTCCGCCGTGACACATGATGGCAACTCGTTCAGCGTAAGCGTTGCGTGGCGCGAACGCTCCCAGGATGTTGAAGGGGAAATGCTCTCTATGGGGTCATCGCGCCGACGCTCCACCACGCAGTTTATAGATAATAAGCATAAAATAATGCAAGAAACAACAACGCACTTAGGTTCATCTCCGCCGTGACAGATGATGGCGACTCGTTCAGCGTGGGCGTTGCGCGGCGCGAACGCTCCCAGGATGTTGAAGGGGAAACGCCTTTCTATCGGGTCATCGCGACGACGCTCCACCACGCAGTTCATGCGACCCCTACAAACGTAAATTATTATTAGCCTATTTTAATGCTAAAGTATCATAACGTGTAAATTAATGTTCCCAATATAGTGCTTTATAGAGTATATTGTACCTACATCATGTAAACATCACTTCTATCAGGGCCTCCAGATTCATTGTAATTACAAGAGGTAAACTGTTATTTTATGTTTTCTACTTTGCCTAAACCATGGTGTTCGCGCCCGTGTAAACCCCACATATATATATAAAAGAAAAGGAAAATCATAGCAAAGGGTTGCACTTATTCAACGGCTGGCGCCATCTATTGGATCGAATAGAATGAGTAGCGCGCCTCGTACAAACGTCATTAGATGTCGCCCGTGTATTTGTTCATCATTTATCACCTACATCATATGACTTGCAAAATTCATTCTCCTAAGCAAACTAATGGTTAAAATCACTCCGTCGATTACATAAGGAAGCTACAAAAAGTCACCGAGTTTTTATTTTAAGAAGACTCCGATCTATGCCCAAACGCATGGGTAGGTATAATGTATTATTATGCTGTTTTTTATTATTGCATAAAACCAAACGAGCTTGAACTGTACTAGGCGAAGTCACAGAGTATCAAGGGATATGATTCTCTTTCGTTGTTAAAGTTTGTCTCTTCTGTGATATTTTTCAAGAATAAAATAAATGTAAAGGTTACATTTATCCCTTGGGACAAAACTGTGTGCCTGTCGTGACTGTTGGACCGAGGTGAGGAGAAATTAGAGTGCAGAACTTTAAACTTTATTAATCAATTCAAAACAAATGAGCTCAAATTGTAGGGAAAGTTATGTAGTAATGGATTGTAATTTGGTAACAATAGCGATAATAAATTGTCCACATTGCTTAAGTAGGAACCGAGTTTGTTGATAGAAGTCAACCAAAGGGACGAGATAATAAAAAAGCTCCACTGCATGCTAAGCCGCAGTCACCATAATCAGCCTGTTAATATCACCTTAGATTGGTGGGTGCAATAGTCTGCAGACGTAGTCGGGACCAACAACGGCTTAACGTGCCTTTTGATAATTAGTTTCTCTTCTCACCCTTACAATGACCGGCCATTGCGAAAGTTATTAACTATTTAAATTCTCAATGATAAAAACAACAATTACTTTTGGTTGTTAGCGAGGAAAGCACCGGCGAGCTCGTCTAGATCGAACTGGATGGGAAGCTTGAACATCGGCCTGATGGCATCCAGCTCCTCGTCATCTTCTGCGGAGCTGTCGGATTCTGAGCTCTCTTCGCTGCTAGAAGTAGCAGGTTCATTTTTGTCGTCGTCTATTTTCTGTAAAAAAAGGCGTTCACGTATATGAGCTGTCGTCATCATCAACTATACTGCTGGGGCATGCTTTCCCGAGGAAAGAATAAGGAGAACGAGCCACGACTCACCATGCCACCGTTATGTGTTTTGTTAGTGTAACGACTAACGACAGGCGTAACCAACGGTTCAACCTACCTTCCGAAGCACGAAGGAGCTATCGATAATAAATTTTTTGTCATTTTATGGATCTCTTGTAAAACTTCCATGAACGCAGGCCTAACAACGCACTAGCCACTGCCCGATAAAGCTCACGAGACGAGAACCGAGTATCCTCCACCTTTTGGTGGTGTTGTTTTTCTGTTTTCTCAACGGGGTAGGCTATTGGATAGCAGCATATAGCAAGCAGAATCGTTATAACAAAAAACAAATGACTTGTACAAAATAGTAATCTTAGTAGGTACTCGTATATACAAAACCTATAAAAGAAACTTATCTATATCTGTTTAAAGCTTTAGCATCATTTCACAAAACCAGGAAGCGCAAATAGCCGGCGAACTTCACAAAATATTTATTTGAAAATAAACACCAACCAAATAAATATTACTTTAACATTATAAAGTATAATTTACTGTTTGTTAGATTCTTCCAAAGACTCGTTCAGCAGAGACACGGCATTAAGAAAGTTTTTCCATTGTGTTCTTTTAATACTTACAAGCAAAATGGGCAATAAGTTCGCATTGAGAAATTTTCGGGACAAAAGAAATTTAATATATAAAATGCGCTCGAAGGTACAAATCATAAGTTGAGAAGAAAATGTTTCAAGGACTTAGCCATGGATGTTAGTGGAAAAAACCAGTACAAACAAGGTTGTGTGCTTCAGATACTTCCTTGTTCGAGTGCATTTCGTGTTCTTGTTTATTTGATAAGAATAAAAACTACTAAACTCGTGGTCATTGCGTGTTGACAATTTCGTGACTTTTCAATTAAACTGCATTCTAATACTGCATGTATTTAGTTATTATTTTAGTAGGAGGCGAAAAATTTAAAACTGGAATTACATGATCTATAAGTGTCTATAATAAACAAATGCGTTGCGTTTTTGGTCAAATTCCACACATTCGAAATTACATAAATTTACATCAAGCTGGAAGTAAGTAAAATTGTTCAAAACAGAATTAAATTAACATTTCTAAATTTCCCATCGTTCCGGTACTTGGAAAAAAATTACTCGAGGTCAAAGGCCAAAAAATGGGTTTTTCGGTATTTTCATCAAAACGGTGAGTTTTATTGTAAAATTGGAAAAAAAGTTGGACTGCTTTGTTCTCCGGCATGTACAAATTGTCAAGGCCAGTCGTGTTCTAATGTTGAAGCACAAACATTAGAGGATTCGTTTGCTACCAACAAAGAAACATGCGATACATCGCTACTGACGCAATTCATTTACACCCAGGATGATGAAGAAGAAGATCGAGAAGAAGTAATTGAATATTATGAATCGAACGAATAAATTATTCTACTGTATTTAATTTCCATCGCTTTTATCAATTCCAACCCTTAATAATTTGTTATAATGCAATAGTTTCCAATTAAACGGAATCACAACAGACCTGTGGAATAGGGCTACTGGGGAAACCACACTTAAAACACTACCACACAGGTAAACGGGAAAGGCGTGGAAACGTGTGCATATTATGACGCTTACATTACAACTTTTTGAATCGTTATATCTCAGGAACGTTGGCTCTTAGGAAAAAAATATTGATACCTTTTTTATAGATAATTTAATGATCTACAACTTTAGTAAAAGGTGATTTTACGATAACACTTACCATTTTCGCGAAAAAAACACGTTTTTTTACCTTTGACCTCGAGTAAATTTTTTTTACAAGTACGGGAGCGATGAGAAATTTTGAAATGTTAATTATGTTTTGGACAATTTCACTCTACAATTTTCCATTTTACAATTTATGTACATACATTTACATCAAGCTGGAACCTGCACTCTTATTTTTCTAAATAATTTAACCGGATAATATTCACTTTTGCAATTTAGTATTCTTTCTTGATTATGCCCATTATTTTTCCTGTATTTAAATCGTTAATTTAAGACAACCTTTTAAAAAAAGCTTTTCAGCACTAGTGACCACTGAGCTTAAAAAGGATCAAAGGTGTCAATAATTAAATTAAAAAATAATTGTGAGCAAGGTTCTTTACGTAAAATATAACTCATAGTAAGTAATTATACTTTCATGAATGTCAGATATTCAGGGAAGTATAAAAATAAAGAAATTATCCAATCTTATTACAATTTGATATTATGTTAGAAAACATGACAAAACATTGTACGTAGAAAGTTTATGAATTTAAATAATGGTCCATAAAATATTTACTTTATGATTGTCATGCATATAGGCAGCTAATAATATCATAAGTGTTGGTCGTAAATTAAAACACGTACAAAAATGTACATTATTATATATCCCGTGTAGATACTTAGTTAGGTACATTCATAAGTTATTACCGACAAAGTTTACAACATCACGTAATCAAATTATTATATTTAGTGTCCCTTCACGACACTGTTCATAACATCATACCCATTCCCGGGTATGTAGAAGTCTGTATCAGTTTCAACAATTCAAAAAGTCGCAATTGGTAATTCAACCCGAGTAAGATACGATTACATTGTTATAAACAATGCATGCAGTCATCCAGAAAGTTTAATACTGTGGAAAGGTGTCTTTCTGTTATAAAATAGATTTGTGATTACAGTATAATTATTTTACAATATTGAACCTGCGGTTTTCTCAATAATGTGAGGAAATTATTAAGCAACAATTTCACTATTACAAGTATATTATATTACGAACGAAAGTATAGACAAAGTGCTGCCGCTGGATTCATTTGTACGCGCAATATTTTTTTGGTTCTTACTCGTATGTCTAATTCTGTATCGAATTATATTTTTTGTTATGGTATTATTTATTCCTGTATTTTTAAGAATAAGGTCAAAAGAAGTAATCCTCTTTTTTCATTGATCTTACCTTGTTGATAACTTAAGTTAATGTATACATTATTTAGAGATAAATGTAATGTAGTAATGTAGTACACTCAGTGGCACAAGAAAGCTCATTAGGACAATATTTTTTTTAAATGGCTTTGCCACTTCGGCTACTTCCAGGGACCCCGGTTAACAATCACTGTGCTAAGCAAACAGAAACGTTTACATAGTTATTGTTACTTGCAAATAAATTATCTTTATGCATTTGTTACAAAAATAAATGATCATCAAAAACATATTTAAACTATCACCAAATAAATACAATCGCAAAGCTAAATAGGTTTCCGCTTGTACATTTTTGGTGAAATCGACATTCAGGTGGACTGTGTAGGTTAAATGCAGCGCCTAGTATGAAAAATCGATAAATCCGTATTATCGATGATTCTTGCTGACCGTATCGAAAATAAAAACAAACAGTGGCATTGGCGGCGTGTTGCACGGGAGCGATTCATCTCGTTCTGTGCTGTTTGTCGTGCACAATCGTTCGGACATCCTGTGCGGCACAATGGCTCGCGCTATTGTTTCGTCGCCCATCGCCCTCCGTTCACTAGTATTTGCCACTAAATCCACCAACATTGGTAAACATGCCATACAAGCTTTAGTATGCTAATTTCTTTTTAAGAGAGGTACAACGGATTTTCAGCTCGAATTATTGCGTCCATCTGAGCAAGTTGCCTCCATCTGATTGAAGAACGAGTCAAATAACGTAAATTAATACAAACTATCAGAGCTTCGTGTTTTAGGTCTTCATCATCAGCCTATTAATGTCCCTGCTGCTGGGGCACAGGCCTTCCCTATGGATGGAATAGGGAGATTGGGCCATGACCCACCACGCGGGCCCAGTGCGGATTGGTGGGTGTTAACGACTGCAGATGCAGCCGGGACCATCGGCTTAACATGCCTTCCGGAGCACGGAGGAACTCGAGATAGAAGATTTTTGGTCACCCATCCAAGGGTCGACCACTGCGAAAGTTGCTTAACTTCAACGATCGCAGCCGAAAGCCCTAACCACCTGCGCCATCGAGCTCCTCGTTTTAGGTCTTAATGTGTATAAAAGTGGTTCAAGTGGTTAGTGCTCCTTTTCTTTTTCTCTTCCACATTAGCTATTTGCGACTGGTTTACCGTACACTTTCGTTTTCACACCAAGACGAGGCAGTAACGAATAAGTTAAAAAGTTTTATATACCTATTTTGGCGGAACCAATTTTTTACTTCCAAGTTTTAATAAATTTAAAATCATTACGGAAGTCAGGGACCTTCGGTAATATATATGATAATAAAAAAAAAATCTAAATTCTTGAAGACGATTCGCTCAAAGAAAGTTTGACAGAACTGTAATAACGCTATCACGCAACAGACTAATGCATTTATCTTTTCCGCGAGCATGGCGGGCTACGAAAATGCTTTCTCGTTGCCAAACTTATAACACGTCACACGTCGGTAAAAGGTAAAATGGCAGAGAATTTTTGTTTTGTTCCAAGAAGATAGCGTCTCGTGACATAACACATCAACAGAATAAATAATGTTCTCTCCACGGCTCGTAACACATCCCCGACGTGAAATGTTCAAGTATCTATGCTATTATTAAGTCGTATAATAACAGAATATGATTTTTGTGTATATTGAAGTTGTTTCCGAATAGACCTTTTGTCTATTAATGGAAATATAGGTACTTTGAGAGAAGTGGCTCTGAAATTTAGCTGAATGAATATCGACCTTTAGTTTATTTTAAATAAAAAAAACTGTACTAAAACAGTAATACATTTTTATTTATTACGCTGCAGTGCTATTCTGTAAGAATAAACTCACTTTTCTACACAGAAATCGCCGGTGTGATTTAATTTTATTTGAAATTCGGATTCTAATTTCAAATCACGACGCGGATTCCGGGGTCTTATGTGAGTTTGGTCTTACAGATGGCACCGCTGCGCTGTTTACAATATTCTTTAATACAATTGAATTAT